TATTTTTCGCTTTTTCTGTGTACTTTGAGCTGAGCTGTGTGCTCTGTGATGAATTGAGCAGAGAGGAGTCTCAGTGGCTCTGTCCTATTTTGGGCTCCAGCTTGGTTCTCCGACTTCAGCCTCCATGGCCTGGATCTTGAGCAGGTTGAGGTGACCTAGAATTGGATTCATCCTTGAAATGTGACTTTGTTTGAGTTATATTACCAAAGCAATAGTATACTTTTTGATAAAAGAAAAGATTAAATTGATCTTTATTTTTTTCTGTTTTGTCTTTTATGTTGTTGCTCATTTATCCTGAACAGCTCTTAATTTAAACAAAAAATCTGTCAAATCCAGGGTTAAACACTTATTTTGGCAGTAGATTATGGAAAAGGCTTCTAAAGTCAATAAAATTAACTGTCTGCAAACACAAAAATGTAAACTGGCCTTTATGTAACAATTAATCCTTCTGTTGTTGCCTAACATACAGCATTGTTTTTCCAAAACGTCATCACAGATCCTGAGCAGCTGATTACCAATGAGACCCAATTCCTGTTTTGAAAGCTAATGCAATTGTAGTTTTTGTCATTAAGAATTTGTTCGAACTTAATACTTAACAACTTAAAGTCTTTTATAAGTAACTTATAAAAGTTTAAATCTCAATAGTGTCCCTAATGCAAGATTTTTCATTCTCATTCTGGATAGTTATAAGGAAAAAAGTAAAAACATTTGTGTTCAAAGAGTATATATTATCGCCTCATTGCCCAACTTTAGTTTGTCACAGCTCTACTTGTGAAGCTTTTGTTTGATTGGATTTTCTTTCCCATAGTATGACTGACAGATTTTTCCACATTAATGGGATAAGGACACATTAAAGGAGAAACATGTTCTTATGACCATGAAAAGGTTAGGAGTTGTTGTTTGAATCCTTGTTGCCGATGTATTTTGTTTTTTTTAGAGACTGTCTAAGCTATATTTGTCTTGACATTGGATCAGATACTGTTTTGTCTAGGTAGTTTCTTATCTCTAGCAGGCACAAGGCGTGGTGCAACCTGGATGATCCAGTAAGCAGGGATTGCTCTGTAATTTTTACAGATTCTCACTGGAGTAAATATGGATTCTTTCTATATCGTGCAATCTTTTAAAACTTCAAACAAGCTGGCCATCTATTTCCACACTTATTCTGTGGAAGCTGTTTTTCTTACAAGATAAAAAACTATATGGTTGTTATTAGGGCTGCAGCTAATGACTATTTTGCTAATCGATTAATCTGTCAATTCTTGTTTTGATTAATAATCAGATGGCAAAAGGTTCCTTAAAGAAGATTTTACACAGAATTTAAACCACATAAAGCTGAGACCTTACCCTTTGACATCCTTTGGATTGAGCATATTAATGGACAAAAAAAGTTGTTCATTTTGAATACAAAATGTTTGCATATTTTGTACATTTACAACTTTTAGAGTCTATATTCAAGTTAAAGATTTTGTAAATTAGTTTACAATTATTTTAATTGATTTAATCTGATTGTTTCAGCCCTAGCTATTATACAAAAGTGGAATGTTATTATATGGTGAGCATTACGAGAAGTGAGATAAAGATAGTCTCTAAAGACTTTTTTTTTCATGGTTGGTGTGACTGGTTTTAAGTTCCTGGTCTACAGGTTGGTTTGGAGTTCAAAAGAAAAGGAAGTATTTCTCTGTTTTATGGTTGTCTATCCCTAGATGTTTTGTGCTATTTTTGACCCTTGTTCCCTCGGGTGAGCAACCCTAGCTAATGTGTTACTACCCGAGGCAGTTCACAACCTTCCCTTATGGAGAAAGACATTTACTGGGAAAGTTGACTTTGAGCTTTGTTCCCTTTTTATTCCACATACCACTGCTATTTAAAGCAGGATTTTTAATTTTGAATGAGTGAACATGTAGTATTTTATGGTTCTAAGCCTTTATTCAGGTAGTTTAAGTAGTATAAACAAGTTTTTAGTTTATGCAAGTATAAGCAAGTATGCAAGTATAAACTTGCATGCTGTGGCTCAGTTTTTAGAACATGTCTTTGTTTAATTTGAGTCGGTCAATACTGCTATCAACTTAGCCGTGGTTTCATCTGGCATCTGCATACAGACTCAAGCTTTTTTTTTTTTTTTTGCTTGTTTTTTTTGTGTTACTTGGAGTTAAATTTTATTAAAAACATGAAATGGTTGTTGATTTTTATAAATATTCCCGACACATTACGATCAATTACAATGACTTGGTTTTTGACTTGAAAATAAATTTCCCAGTATACTTACAGCTGTAATTTATTAATTTCTAAACAAATATAGCCTTTTAAAGGAGATATTACATCTCTTGATTAAAAATACTGGTTCATTGTTTATTATGAATAAACCTAAGAACTTTTAAGTTTTTCAAGAGACATTTGGTTAAATGGTGTAAAGGACATATGGAAATCATGATATTATTGTGCCATATTACTGTGCCAATTATTCCACATTATGCCACATGATATTTCATATCATTAAGCATTGGGGATGACATGGTGGTTCTGAATCAAACATCCAAGATGACTTATCAACTATTTGGGAAAAGAAAATATCTAAAATGCAGTCTATTGGTCATTTTTGGTCCCCAGAATGTTTTTTGTGAGCGTGCAAACAGAAAGTAGAGCTGGCCTTGTTTATCAGCTTGTTGAGCTTTTTTAAGTAATTTACTCTGATGCTGTTACCCCAGCTGATGATGGAGGAAGAGATCTGATTGTTGACAGCAGACTTATAGAGATGTGCAGGATCTTGCTGCAAACATTGAAGGACTCTAGCCTGCTCCTTACCTTCTATTTGACAGCTGCACAGTTGTGTCTCCAGTGAAGTTTATTGTCCAGGTGACAAAGAGATACTTATACTCCTCCAACACTTCCACTTCTTCTCCCACAATACTAATAGGATTCAACTTGTTGCTGCAGAAACTACATTCTGGATCAAATGATTGATTCCACATCATGCCACAAAGCAATTCACCAGCTCTTTGTACTCAGCTTCTTGTCCATCTTTGATACACCCAATGATTGCAGAGTCATCAAGTATTTCTGCAGATGACCTGTTTCTCTCTCTTGTACTGAAAGTCAGAGGTGTACAGAGTAAAAAGTAGTGCTGACATTACTATCCCCTGTGATGCTTTGGGGCAGTAAATTATTTGATTAAACAGTTGACCATTCAGTCTCTCAAACCTATTCTGTTTGTCAGATACATTTTTGACCCTAGGAATGAATTGTTTATATATACAGAAATTTGGATTTCTGACTTTCTCACTGATCAGAAATGATAGTCACATGCTTATTGTTTTTCCCAACAAATAGATCTGAAGAGTAAGTGGTATACATGCATACAAGCTAGAAGTCAGCTCCTTTTATTATAACCTATAAGTCCCATAACAATGTACTTCGCTAGACAGCATAAAAACAATGAAGCATTGGAGCCACATATGTATTTGCTTGTTGGAAAAGGAAATAATTAAAATAAAAACACAATTCTGGCAGTGTACTTTCTGGGCAAAATTTGCCCAGCTGTAGTTAGAATACACCTGACTGACAATGCGTCTTGTGGGAAAGCTGTGCTCTAAGTGTACCATCACTTCCAGGACTCCTTGTCCAGGAAATATGGAAACACTTATACTGAAACATTTTCTGGGGTAAAAAAGGCTGATTATCCCTAATAAGTGCTTTGTTGTGCCACTGTCACAGTGGGAAGCCTGCTGCAACAGCTGTTATAGCAGCATTTTGCAGACCATTACTCACTATATGAGAATAGCCTAATTTTCTTTTTGATGCATTTGGTGTTGGCTGCTGCCGGGGGGGGTGGCACTGTCACTATGATGTATGGAGCAGCAGCAGCTGGCTATCACAGAGCACAGGTGGCTCTCTCCAGAGTACCTGACAGTAGACCAGCCTCATTTAATGTTAAGATAGAAAAAGCTAACTTAATATTGAGCTAGGTCCTGAATATAAGTTGTTTCTTTATATCCTTCTAATGTAAATAGACAGAAAAAAGAGGACATTTGTTGAGGGTCCCTTACATAATTTATTTTAGCAGCTTGATGTATGATCTCAGTTTAAATCAAAACCTCAAAGATGGATAAAAAAAAATGAAAAATAGTGAAACTTTTTTTCCAATTTCATATTAACTATGTTTTTATTTAGTGACATAATGCACAGGTCTCTTTACATACACCCCTAGAATAACTGCTTTAAACTTAAAACACTGAATAATTGCATGGTTAGAGGTCTGTGTTTGTCTCCCCTAGATTAGAGATGCAACTTCATAAAAATGATATGTATTGATTACTGTTTTGTAAAATTGGGTGAAAATATATGTTAAATGTAGAAATCCTCCTATAGGCTGTGGGAAACAAAGGGTTGCTCATTCTGCTGCCTTGTGACACTAATGAAGACAATGTCTTCAGAAAGTTTAACTTTGAATTACTTTGAAAGGTTATTTTTGGTTGGTTGACACAAAGGTTCGAAGGTGCTATATGAAAGTGAAGAATGCTTAGGTGTTTTTGAAACTCGCAGATGCTAGTTGGGAGTATTAATTCTTCTGACAACCTTAATAGTCGACTATCATGATTTCTCTGGCAAGATGCGTTGATACCACATTCACACATATTTGATAGATCTAGTTATATTTTGTAGGAAGGGAAATGTGATTGATAATAATTGGTCAGACACAATCCGTGCAAACGGTAAATCCCTATATAAAGTAGACTGTAAAGATGGAGCACTATGTAGAGCCCGGGGGCTTCCACAAACAGTCTTCTCCATCCCATAGACTGCACTCGGCCTAGGGAAAGGAAGAGGGTGCGGCTCTATAACAGACTTGGGTCATCTCCCCCCACCTCCCTTTTTTTCCTCTGTTCCCACACCATTTATGGTCTCATTCCTTCTCCTTCGTCACTTGTTTAAATTCAGTATCTCTAAAGTTTATACTGGGTCAAGCCTTAACCTATATCCTAATCTTGATTTGTTGTTTTTAGATGGCTGCAATCAGAAAGAAGCTGGTGATAGTCGGAGATGGTGCATGTGGGAAGACTTGCCTGCTCATCGTCTTCAGTAAGGATCAGTTCCCAGAGGTCTACGTCCCCACTGTATTTGAGAACTACATTGCTGACATTGAAGTTGATGGCAAACAGGTAATCATAATTTTAACATTTCACAATGGACAGTCTGTACATTTATAGTATATTCATATACATTCACCTTCAGTTTAATAAAATCTAAGCATGATTTGGTACCTAAATCATTTGGTACCAGGGAAGTAAAATAAGTTAATATTTGTACTAGTGACATGATTCATATTTTTTGGACTGCAGAAAGAGGACTGTTCTGATTAAGAAGTAAATGGGGATTTAATTTTTTCTTTCACTTCTGCTATAATAGGATATTCAGAACAGGCCATTTGTGCAGCACTCTTGACCTTGTTTGTTATGAACCAGCTGCCAATTTTGAATAAGGAATATAAATGTGCAGTTGAGCTAACCCTTTGGGGCCTTTCATTGTTTAAAAGGTAGACTTCTACAGCAAACAACAGGAAGTGGATCTGTGCCAACTTCCTGCTAGGGTTCAATTCCCACCAACAACCCCCTCACCCGCCCTTTGTAGATCATGACTAATTTCCTTTTCTTGTCCTGCAAAATCTGCAGTCAGCTTTTTTTTTTTTCTCATCTGATGTAAAGTTGAATTTACTTCACATGGAGAACTGTGTAAAAATAAAACATTTAGGCCATTCTTAAAAAAAAATTTTTCAAGTAATTTCATAAATGTTTCAAAATGAGGTTCACTTGGTAAGTGGTTAAAATAATTGGTAATCTGAAAAAAAAAATGTTACGTCTGTTCATTCGAAATGGCATAACTTCTTTTAGAAACACTTGATTGGTTTTGTAACGGACTCTACTAGTAGCTTGTTCCTAAGCTCTCTAGATGAAGCCCTCCTCTCTTTTTGACGCTTCCTGTAATCCCACACAGATCAGAGCCCTGTGGGAGCTTTACCATCACTTCCAGGACTTCCTTGTTCTTTTTTGTTCTAACATTGTGACTACGACTGGCTGTATGTTAATGGTCATTGTCCTACTGCAGAATATATTTTGGAACGCTTATAATCTGTCCTCGCTGATCATGATATTGGAAAGTTTGTGTTAGGGTTATGTTGAAATAGTTTTGATTGCACTTTTTCCTCCTCTGTTCCTTTTCAAGACTTTCAGTAGTTCAACTGCTTTGAGGTTATCATGGACATTTTCTGCTGAGAGAATCCATCCAGCAAGATGAAAACAACTTTGCCAAGCACAGTGTCAGCCCCTCAGACCTTTAAACTTTTGGCTAATATTTTTTATTTTTTAATGCAGTCAATCCCAATAATACTGTGAAGAGTTACACTGTGAAAAATACCTATTTAAATGGTCATCTCTTTTTTTTCTTTTGAATGGTTAAACATTTGCTTTTATGTCTGTGTAGTTCTCACTGTCCAACTGCATCAAAATAAAAGTAACCCCAGGCTTACAAGGATCCTCCCTCATGCTTAACCACTGCCTGCACTCATTATTGTGACACCCCTTAAGCGAATTTGCCATCTGCTACATCGAATAGTCAAAATTTAATCTCATCAGTGCTCGATTCCTGCTGACATTTTCCTTCAGCCCAACTTCTGAATCCTCTTGTTGATTTACTTGGTTTCCTCGTCAGAGAGGAGGCATCTTCCATTGATACCACATCTTGTCAGGCTTCTCTGGATAGTAGATCAGTGTACCTAGGTGCGTCTTGCTGGTTTCCTCCACTTGTCCACCAATGACGCTACTGTACATCGTGCAGGAAATGAGCGTAATGTGTTAGACAACGCAACCTGGTGCAACAGATGACAAACTATGACCCTCATTGTCTTCCGTTCCTGCCAGGCTCTGTTGTCTGCTCTAAAATCTCTGGCAGAGACCTTGCTGATGCAATAACTACATTGTCTTGTTCTGTCCCCAGTCACACCATGGTGACCTCATTTAGTTTAAAGCCTTTTATAAAATTGTTTATTTTGCTTTAACCATTTCAATCCAGGTTATACTAATACCTCCACTACTTTTGGTAAACTGATAGTTTGTAAGTTGAATGGTTTGGCCAAATGGAGTGAAAAGTCCAGATAACCTGCTAAGGTACTGCAGTTGCTCTAAGGTACAGTGGCTCTAGTTTGTATGTAGCATTCAGTTTCTTTAGGACTGGTTTTAGATGCTACTTAAATGTATTTAATCAAAATAGCAGAATTCTGATTTTTTATTTTAATTTTTTTTTTTTTTTTATTATTAATATTTTTTTTTTTTTGTAAAGGATGAAGTTGAGTTTTAGAGTCTTGAAGTCATACAAATTTTGCATGCACTGACAGTTTGGGGCTACAGTGTACTAAAAGTGGTAGCTCATCTGCTGAGCTTTCAAAAATGAATTCTTTAGGTTTATTTTATCAGGAGCAGGTCAGGCTCTCTGGGACTGCCACCACTTTGATTAACAGCCTTAGGCATGTGGGAACTTCCTCTATGACTGAAAAAAAGCTTTATAGAGCTGCTAGCAGAGAAATGTACCTTTTTACTTGCCAGCAGTGTTTTAGCTCTTGAAATGCTGTTCGCTCTTTCTTATGCTCCTACTTAACACTCAAGTTTTGATGTCTTTTTTTTATCCTGTCTGTTTCACACACAGGTGGAATTGGCTCTGTGGGATACTGCTGGCCAGGAGGATTATGACAGACTGCGCCCTCTCTCCTATCCTGATACAGATGTTATACTTATGTGCTTCTCCATAGACAGCCCTGACAGTTTAGGTGAGACTCATAGTGACCGTCCCATGCACAAAATATTGGACGATTGGGAACACTGTCCTTGCTACATAGGTCACCATTATAGGAATAAAGTTTGGTTTAAATTTGTGTATTAATATTTTGGCAGCACACACTTTTTTTTTTCATTCACAGTAAAACTTAATAAATGAAAATATTAATAATAATATTTTCATTTTTGCTGTTCGTGTAGCTTTAATACCCCTCTGACTTTTTACAAATATGATTTTAGAAACAACCACAAACTTCAGTCCAGTTGTTTCTTTGGATCAACACTAAATAGTGATTCATTTTAAACTGGAAGAATTATCCAAAAATAATCTAAACATTCAGACCATTTGATTCCAAACAAACATCCAGAGATATAATGGTTCAGGTTTAATCTAGTCTTAGAATTACTTAGACCTGAGTTTTATTCAGAGTTGGTGGCAAAACCAGATGAATGTTCTGGTTATCTGCATCCAATCACCCTTAGTTCTACATATTTACCAGGGAACAACGTTAAAAAATATCCAGAGGAGTATTTCTTAAAAATTGCTCAAAAAGTCGGACTTTGCCGATCTATTCTGACTCAACTTAAGCAAAACATATTAAGCTAAATTTCTTTCCAAAAAGACGACTCAGGACTTACTCAAGACGCGTTCAATTAATCAGTATTAGCATGCATAAAAGCAGATGGTGTAGTAGATCAGAGTTCATGGTGAAATCATAGGAAAATATGAATTTGTTCCGTATTTCATTGGTAGAAACCTATCAGGAGTAGGAAAAAAAGGGAGACACTTTCCATCACTAACACCAGTGAAGTGGGATGGCAGGCTACTGCTTATTGAATAAATGCAGAAATCTTCACTTTTTTTTGCTTTTCTTTTCCTTCTTAATACAGATAATTATCCAGGTTAAATGGAACATTTAACCTTTGTGAAATTCAGCAACATTCTGATTAGGGCTGCAACTAATGATCATCTTGCTAATGGATTAACCTGTCTATTTTTTTTCGATTAATAATCAGATACCAAAGGTTCCTTGAAGATTTTTAATAGAATTAGACCAAGCAAATCTAAAAGTTTTGATGGGTTCTGGAAAGAGCATATTGAAGGATGAAAAAAATGATTATTTGTTTTTTAAATCTTTAATGAAATCTTTTAATATATTTTTGTTTAATTTTGGTATAATTATTGCTCTAAGTTGGTCACTATGTCAGTTAAAGCCACGTTTTAGTTTCTACTCCAGTTAATTAATTGGTTAATAAATTAGTTGACTGTTATTTCAACTGATTGTTACGCTCATAATTTTATGTGTTGGCCTATAGTGTTATGAAAATGTAAATGGATTTAGTGAAATACTAGTCAAATGCTACTTTTTCCATCTTAGTGTAGTTTTAGTCTCGAGGTTTAAGTCGTAGTTGAGTCCCTTAATCTGCTTTTAAAGATTTCATCAGATTTTAGTTACACTTCTTGCTAAGACAAAAAAGACAAAATATTTCTATCCCTGAAATCGACATTCTTTTTGCCCACAATAAAATCTTTCTGTAGTAACGCAAGTGGCGAGATACAAACTATATAATAGGTGAAAACGGAGTAAGAAAACCTAATTCAAAATTATTGATCATCCTCTATTTTGACAAAGCAAGAAAACTTTTCAGGCACTTTATATATGGGCCTGATTTTCATAAGACTTAATTCCAGTCAATTGCAGCCGCCAAAAAAATGAGATACCACAAAGATTTTGGGCGTAGTTCCCTGATTTCTGCACTACTGTCTCTGTGTCTGGGGAGCAGTTGGGGCATGATGTGACTGAAGGAAAACTGAGGTGCAATTAAGGCAATCAGGTAAATTAAGCCTTAAATAAATAAGTAAATTAAGCCGAAGCTAGCAATATTTATGAACCCTAAATGACAAAAAAATTATCCAGACTTGGCCGACCAAACCTGGATTACAAACAAAGCCAGTTTTATGAAACACTGTTCTGCTCTAGATGTCCAAAGCTGATGAAGAAATGCCTCAGATTACAGTCACTGCAATCAGGATTTTACAAAACAAGATTCTATAAAAATTTCCCCAACAGTACAATAATCCACTGCTTTGTGTTGGTGTGACACAGATATAGCTCTCAGTTGAATGTATTGAAGCTTTCTTTGCTTTTACTAAATGCTAAAATGTTGAAAACTCTAAAGGTACTAATACTTTTACAAAGTGCCGTATTTCTTGCTATTCCTTCCTGTATGCTAAAATGAAGAAATTACTTTACCCCACCCTTTCATAAGGTCTCCTATTCTCTCTCACTTTAGCTAAATATGACCTGCAGGTTATATACATGGTAGAGAAAGTGTTTAATGAACATGAAGCTCATTTATTAACCTGTAATAGAATAGATGTAGTTTTTTCTGTTGTTTGGAACATCAAAATAAGCACACCAAAAATATAATGGGGAGAAAAAACATGCTGAAAAATTAAAAAGCTTTTTAAAATCAAAATTGTTTTTTTCACACTGATTTAAAATGGATAATGCCTGGCTTGGCATAATGACATATCCTTCCAAACAAGGGCAGCATATCAGCCAGGGGTCAGTGGCTTCTTAATGATTGTCGTTACAGTCATAAGATAAACTCCTCCCCTTGTCCTTGTAGGGAGAAAAGAATGGCATGCACTTTGCTGGGAATTTATACTCATGCATCAGAATTCTTTCAGAGAACATTCCAGAGAAATGGACCCCTGAAGTAAAACACTTCTGTCCCAACGTCCCCATTATCCTGGTGGGAAACAAGAAGGACCTCAGAAATGATGAACACACACGCAGGGAGTTGACCAAAATGAAGCAGGTTTGTTTATATTTGATATATAAGATGTTAATCATAATTGTCCCAGCTTTCAAGTGTGTTTTTTTTAACCCTGCCTTTACATGACCCATCCCCTCCCCAGGAGCCTGTAAAGTCTGAGGAGGGCAGAGACATGGCCAACCGCATCAGTGCCTTTGGCTACCTGGAGTGCTCAGCCAAGACCAAGGACGGTGTGCGGGACGTGTTTGAGATGGCTACCAGAGCAGCCCTGCAGGTCCGCAAGCGCCACAAGAGGGGTGGCTGCCAGTTACTGTGAGGGGTCTGGATCTGGAGGACTCTCCCAGACACGCAGAACAAACTTAGATTCCTTAAATCAGTGGCTTCCATAGACTTGTACTTAACTCCACAGATGCAGGCAAGACTGCCACACTTGTTTAAAAGCAAAACAAATCAGCTATTTTTAAACGTTTCCTTTCCAACTTGGTTGTTGCTCCTATCATATTGTTTTCAGTAACCAGCACACCAGACTGCTTGTGTGGAGGATTGGACCCTTTTCTTCTATATGAATGTATGTTCGTATTTAAATGTGCATGTTCTTTAAAAATGCCAAGCCCTCTCCTTTTGTGTCATGATTCTGTGTTTACAGAGAGCGTTCCCTGACTGCTTCTCTTTCAGCCGCGAACGGCTGTTGTTTCAGATTTGCTGCCTTCTGCTTCTGCTAAAACTTCCATCATGTATCACTTGGTTTCTTTTTATACACAAGATTCTGTGATGGCTCTTTGTGTTGTACCACTATTCATTTTGTACACTAAAATTGTATTTCACCAAGCGCTTTGTCAGCTGAGCTATTTTTCACATTTCTTCTGTGAGTAATTTTAGAGCCTCTTCACACTTCATTAAGCATACATGCAGTTAACTGAAAGCGCAGAGAGAATTTTGACTGTGTAGTGAGCTGGTTATGGCGACGGCTTAAACTGGTACTGGAGACAGTATTCAATTGTTAAGGACAGTACTAGAAGTTGCTCCACTGGTTTTGAGGGATGTGAACAATGCTTATCAGGCCAGCCTTCTCTATTTTTGGTATGTTACATGTCCAACATATAGTTGGTACACATCACTGTGGTGTGCTTACTGAATATGAATGCACTTTTTTCACAGCCGTGTCTATATTCACGTCTTTTTGGCTTAGCGTGTAAATTCTATTGGCTGTGTTTTGTACAGAAAACACTGGTAATATAAGTAGGTGTTTTTAAGAAGAGAGATGGTCTGCCTCACTAAATTATGAGGCCTTGTTTGTTGCTTAATTAAATCACAATATGCAAGGTTTATATAGAGAGATGGATAGATATATAGATTTTTTTTTTAAACAAGTTGGCTTAAAAAATCTGAATCTGAGTTTAAAATAACTAGGATCAAATCTTTATGTTCTCAGTTGAAATCGAAGCTCAGCCTGAATTTGTTTAATTGGGTCAGGCATAAAGGTAGTTACTACAAATGTATGGTACAAAGCTAACATTGCAGGTTTTCATGTCACATTGCAATATATTTTACCCTACAAACTAAATAATCTCTTTTTTCAACATGGTGTTGATACCATCATGCTGTGGGTATGTCTTTTCCTCATCAGTGACAGGAAAACAGGGTGAAGCTAAATGCAGGGCAGAGGTCCATTTCATAAAGCAGGTTTTGCAAACCGATTCAGATCCTCATCTCTGAAATGATCTAGCCTAAGATTGGAAACTCTTGAGTCTTTGGTTTCATAACAGCCGATAGTTTAATTCTGAGTGGGTTCACGCGGAGTAGAGCAAGTGCGTAACAACTATGAAAAGCCATTTTAAATTAAGCTCTGAAATGCAGCATTACAAAAAAATATCTAAGAATGTATTTAAAAGAGAGCAAAGGTGCTACAGCTGCAAAAGAGGGAGCTTTAATGACACATCATGAGAACAGGCAAGAGGAAGTACATTACACACAATTGGAACTAGAGATTTTAATAACTACGGTAATTAGAAAAAAAATAGTGTTTTTAAAAGCTTTATAGCTGCAACGGAGAGGGAGAGCGCAGAAGAAGATTGCTGCTTGAGTTGATGCATAAGTTCATATGAATTCTGGTATGGCAGGTCATATTTACATTCATTAAAAGCACTGCTCTGTTTTACTGTTTGTAGATCACACAAATGGGATTCTTTCTGGTCAAAATCACATTCCTAGACAAAACTTTTAATAGATTTCCTAAAAAAAAAAAAAAAATTATGCTTAATAATAAATTTTGATATACCTAAAAATGTGTACAACTTTTAAGTGGCTGTTGTTTGATATTTATCAGCTTAAATTAATATGTATTTCTCAAATTTCTTCAAAGGTGAAATAATTCAAATTATGACCAGGAACATGGACATCTAAAATTCAATTTTTAACATCTAAAATATTTATTTTAGAGATAAATGTAATTTTGTTTAAAATGTTCAGTTAGAACTGGAAAAAAAAATATTTTAGATATAAGAAATGCATATTCAGACAAAATGATACATATGAAAACGGCCTGCTACAGCCAAAATAACATAACCGGGAAAAAAAATTTGTTTGAATGTTAGTGGATCCAAATATTCTATTTAGGTGAAGTTTAATGTTTTTTCTTTTCAACATTGTCATATGAAACTGCTCCGCTACAATTAGATTCATCACCTCATCTCTCAGAAATGTAGTTCAGCCCAACTGCAGTCAACCAGGAGATCAGGATTTTACAATACTATGGACTGGTCCTTATGGGAAATTTGGTCTTCCTTAAGACAAGAAAACACAGCTTTTGTCCATTAGGGGGAGCCAGAATCACCCAAAACAAAGTTCTTCAGAACTGTTGTAAATGCTGTGTCTGTCTGTGTAGTTCTTTTCTATAAATCTGTTAACAAACCCACTGATATATAGTTCAGTTTTGTTTAAAATCTGTGTAATGCTGCAAATGTGAGGACAGATTGTCATGGAAGGATGTGATGAATTGTGAGGTGAAACTGTAGCTCTCATAAAGATGACTTTCTGAATTTGAAAGGACATTTATACGCTGTCTAAAAATCCTCTCCCCATAAAAATTTTTTACTGCAAACTAATGCCACTCATTCTTAAATTAGATCCTCATCCAACAGACATGCTGTGTGTTTTTTAACACCTGGTGATTAGTCAAATGTACCGTGTGAATGATTTTCAGTTTCTTGTTCACACCAAACTAC